TGGTAGCACAGAAACCCGCCGGGGAAGAATGAGTGGGAAGTAAAAAAGTGAATATGGCATATGTGGGCAATTATGGAGAAGCTTGACTATAATAAAACGAACTTATATTTTTGGTTCACTATTACTATTTTCAAATAAAATGTTAGTTAAAAGTTTTCAAATGGATATTCTCTAAGTTTGGATTTCGAAGAACAGTATGGAAGTAGATGCTGGAATCATAACAACCATGATGGTGGAGAATTTCACATTACGTTAAAATCTAAGTTACCCCTTGAATTGGAACAGTAAGGGGGAAATTACAGCAGTCTTTCCTTCTAACATTTTTATTTTGGACCCAACCAAATAACAAAACCTAGGTAATAACATGAGTAAATAGGGTTGTTTTTCCTGCTAAGGGAGTTTAAACATACATTCCAAAATAAAATAAACTGTTCATTTACTTGAGAAATGCAAGCAAATTACTGGTGAAACTGACAATTTGCATTTCCCTAAATTTTGCTTTTCAAAGTGCTTTCACAACTATCACTACTACCTGATAATCCCCAAAATTGCGATTTGGGGCTTGCTTCTTTCTCAATATTCTTTCATATTTGTTTGCTTGTTTTTTTTTAATTTAAGTAATATCGACACCCCACATGGTGCTCAAACTCCCAACCCCAATATTATTTTATGTTCTAATTGGAAATTAGTCACAGAAATACTAAATTAATTTATCCTGGATCAAAAATTTAACAGCAAAGCTAGAACTCTTGATTAAAAAAAAAAAATTTATCTATTTATTTTACAGAGGGAGAGAGAGAGTGTGTGTGCATGGGGGCGAGGGGGTGGGTAGAGGGAGAAGAGAAGCCCAAGCAGACTCCACACTGAGCATGGTGCCCGATGCCAGGCTCGATCCCAGGACCCCGAGATCACAACCTGAGCTGAAACCAAGAGTCAGATGCCAAATCAACAGTGCCACCTAGGTGCTCCTAGAACCCTTGATTCTTAATCCAACACTTTTTACCCTCAATCAAGAAGTTACTACAATTAGAGTCCACAATAATTTACAAAAACATACTATAATATTATCAAAGCTTTAATGACCCCAGCAAATCCTTATGCAAATGGTAATACCTAACATGCTCACATCACTTAAGGTTCTACAAAACAATACTACTAACAAATTAAGAAAGATCTAGTACCCCAGGAAAGATAGATTGTAAGGATGATTCTCATTTCACAAAACAAATGTGCTCCTGGAAAGTTACATGTGAACGCAATTTTAATCAATTCTTATGTTGAAGGAACTATGTAATTTATGAGAGCAGTTATTTTCAACTCCCCTTCCATTTTTATTGAGCAGCACAACCACTTCCAAGAAGATATTTCATAAGATGTTATAAAATGAACTGTGTCCCTTCAAAATTCGTATGGTGAAGCCCTAACTCCCAATGTGTCTGTATTTGGAGATAAGGCCTTTAAGGAGATAATTAACGTTAAACGAGGTTTTAAGAGTGGGGCTCTATAAGACTGGTGTCTTTGAGACCAGAGACACCAAGCCCCTTCCCTGCAGTGAACATACAGAGGAAATGCCAGGCGAGGGCACAGTGATGACAAGGACTAGCATAAAAGTAGAAAGAGAGCACTCACCAAATTTGCCAACACCTTGATTTGGAATTCTAGCCTGAAGAACTGTGAGAAAATATATTTCTGTTGTTTAAGCCACATAAGCTGTGGTATTTTGTTATGGTAGTCCCAGCAGACTAATAATACGTGGGGGTTTCAGAAGCATTTCTGGGGAAATCTTAGGGCTTCATGAAAAACAATTTGAAAACTGCTGTGCTAAAGAAATTTCTTATACTGCAAAAATAACCACAATCTAATTAATGTTTTATGTGCATTTAACACATAATTCTCAAAGCAAACTAAGATTAAAAGCATCTGTATATTTGTTCCATAATCACAAAGCAGGACTTATTTATATACTGAAACTAAATTTTAAATGTCAAATCATGGGGTGCTTGGGTGGCTCAGTCAGTTTAGCAGCCAACTCTTGGATTCGGCTCAGGTCATGACCTCGGGGTCATGGGATGGAGCCCACATTGGGCTCTATGCGTGGTCTGCTGAAGATTCTCTCCCTCTTCCTCTCCCTCTGCCCTGTTCCTCCCCTCAGCTCGTTCGTACACGTGTGCATGCTCTCTCTCTAGAATAAATAAAATCTTTAAATGTCAAATCATACCAACTATGATAAAAATCCAAGTCAACAAATCAATGGTTAAAACAAATTAGTGTAACTGATGATCAGTAAGACACTGATGTTTGTCATACGGTCTACAAAAGCTAATCGCATAGGGTGATGAAGTAAAACTAATTGGCTTTTAGTTTTAGGCAACATGTACCAAAGTGTTTTACAAATTAAAAGACTATATATATGTTCACTATTATAATTGAAATCTTGCAGATTTGCCAGAAAATAATGATAAAATGGGGACAGATTTTAAATTTCATGAAAAGTTCTACCCAAACTAAGTTAGCAAATATATGAAAGGAACTAGTGAACCACAAAAGCATTAATTCTGAGTGGTACGAATATGGACATTATAATGTTCTTGTTTTTTATCTATGCACTTTACATTTTTTTAAATGTTAAAAATAAAAAGAGGTTGTGGGAAACTTTTTTCCCAACCTCATTTCCTTAGAAATACCACAAGGTCCTCCAAATTGAGGAAATCCCAGAGTCATGTCTGATTCTCAAGTAACTATAATTCAGTCCAAGGAGGCATATGAAACATAATTTTAAGCAGTGTAGTATCAGTCAACCTTAACCTTTCTAACCTAGACCTTTGAGCCACCTAAATTAGGATCAATGGGATTCTTCAGAATAAATATTTTTAAACTCTGCTGGCATCAAAGAAAACTTAAAGTATATATGAAATTACTCTAAGAAGAATCTAAAATAATAGGCACTGAAAACTGGTATCTGATAAAACTGCATTTTTGAACATGTTTGACACCTACCATTACTATTAGATGGCAAAACACTGAAAAACATGCATACCTCTTGAATCTCACAGAACTTGAATCTTAGTGCAGGGGTGAATGGAATGGAAGCAAGGGGGATACATGCAAGAAGATAAATGGACAATTACAAAACAAACAGTGTATACTATTTCACATACTCCAGCCAGGTACTATATGGCCCACAAAGAAATGACTTATGGAGGATAACCACAAAATACTAAGGAAACACTGAGTAAGACTCATACATACACAGGGCTTTCTGCAAGGTAAATCTTCACTCATTCATCCATTTACTGACTTAAATACTTACTGAGCAACAGTTAAGTGCGAGGTACTAGTTTAGATATTAAAAATGTAATAGAAAATGATAAAATTATTCTTGCCGTCACAGAGCTTTAATTCTACTGGAGACAGACTTAAAAACGTAAAACTGATGATTTTAGAGAGTAATTAACTACTAGGAAGGAAATAAGGCAAGGTGATATATTAAGAGAGTGGTAGAACACTCAAGGGCAAAGCCTACTTTAGTCATACAAAGGACCAAAGAGCCAGAAACAGCATGACCATTCTGGAAACCAAAAATAGTTCTGCAAGGCAGAATATAGTACATACTGATGAGACCAATATAGAGAATAGCAAGAAAAGAACCCAGAGGAGAAAGTGGGGCCATCACATCAAGAACTCTATTGCTATGTTAAGAAATGATTTTCTGTTCAGAAGACAACAAGGACTCCTACATTAAGGAATTAAAGCAAAGGAGAAAGATCACTCTGATTTTCACTTTATCACTGTAATTGTGATAAGTGGACTAGACACAGGGAAACCAGCCTGGAGTTTCCTATAATAATCCAAGTAAGAGAAAATGGCATCAACTAGGGCAGAGACAGCTAGAGTTGCATAGACTGAACTGAAAGAGATCAAGAAGGCTAAATCAGGATGCAGTAACCAGCTGACGGACATTGCAGACGACATGTGTTGTAATGAGCACTGGGTATTATATAAGACTGATGAATCACAGACCTGTACCCCTGAAACAAATACATTATGCTAATTAACTGAAATTTAAATTAAAAAAAAAATCTTAGGGCGCCTGGGTGGCTTAGTTGGTTAAGCAACTGCCTTCAGCTCAGGTCATGATCCTGGAGTCCTGGGATCAAGTCCCGCATCAGGCTCCCTGCTCAGCGGGGAGTCTGCTTCTCCCTCTGACCCTCTTCCCTCTCGTGCTATCTCTCATTCTCTCTCTCTCAAATAAATAAAATCTTAAAAAAAAAAATCTC